CCCTTGTTCTGTTCAAACCACTGTCTTTTGATTTTTGTACAGGTTCCACATGAGCACAATTAAAGTTCTAGAATTCCCATTCTTTGTAGTGTTATCTGTAGTTTGTTATAATCCACCCAGTTGAATGCCTGTGGATAGTCAATAAAACACAAATAAACATCTTTATGATATTCTCTACTTTCAGCCAAGATCCATTTGATACCAGTAATAATATTTTGCATCATATGTCATCTTTTGAATCAAGCTTCAATATGGATGTACTGATACAACAGATTTTGTATTAGCTTCAGCAAAAATTTTACTTGCACATGATATTGTTCAATAATTTCAGCATTCTGTTGTGCAACCTTTCTTTGTAATGGGCACACACATAGATCTCTTCCAGTCAGTTGGCCAAGTAGCTGTCTTCCAAATATCTTGGCATAGAGTGCCAAGTGAGTGCTTCCAGTGCATCATTAGCTATTGAACTATTTCGATTGGTATTTGGTCAATTCCTGGAGCCTTGATTTTTGCTAGCGTCTACTGTGCAGTTTGGCTTTCTTCCTTAAATACCAATTTTTCTTGATCATATGCCTTCTCATGAAATCTCTAAACATTAACCAATTCTTTTTAGTATAATAACCCTGGGTTTTCCTTTTGTATTCAGCTATTTAAACTATTACTCTTACCCCTCCTATAGTTTACTCTACCTCACCCCACCCTTTTTATTCTACATCACCCAAGTTAAGGTTTCTCAACGCTGAAGCCTGTTGCTTCATGTTCAGTCTTCTGCCCTCCCCTGTGGGGAACCTCCAAAGTCTGTTCTCTTTGTTATGAAGGTTTTTGTCTTTAACGCCCCCCCCTCTTTATCAGAGTTGTCTCACACAATATTATTCTATTGGTGATTGACTAATTCCACCCAGCATAGTGTTTTCCGGGTTCATCGTTGCCATGTGGGACTTTATGGATCCATCACTGATTTTTTAAACAGTTTTATAAGTCACAAGCATACAATTCAGTAGTTCAATCACATCAAGAAGAGGTGTATAATTATCACCACGATCAGATTTAGAAGATTTTCTTCACTCTTGTATTCATCATTATTAGCTCCCCATTTTCCTACAATCTCCCAACCATACCCCCGAGAAACCATTAATACCGTGACTGTCTCTATAGATTTCATACACAGAAAAACAGTGTTTTAAAAATTACAAAAAATAACAATAACAAGGTGAGACAGATAACAAAGTCTATTGAAAAGAAAGCAGAAAACTTTAAAGGTAGAAGAACTTGAAAATGGATCAAAAGGGATATCAAATGACATGGTGTTGAATTTTATGAATTTTAACCTAACTGCGGTTGCAATAATCCACATTCCAATGCATTCTGCATGATAGCAAGGCTATTTATTCACATCCCTGGTCCACGGCCAGAGGGGATTCACCAGAGGCTTAATACATGTGTGGATCCAGCAAATGGATTTTGGGCTCCCATTGTCATCCAGAGCCTTCTGCAAACAAGGTGTTCACAAATTAAGTTTTGATGCCCTTCCTTCCTTCAGATTTGGATTTTATTGTTTACAATCCTTGGATCACACAGCCTGATGTGTTTCTTTCATGAAGGTTTAGTTGATTCATACAAAGTACTCTATTGGGTGTAGGCACCACCAGTTCTTTATTATTCTTCTACTAATGGATATATGTTATTTCCACCTTCTTGAAATTTGAACAGTGCTGAGATTAACATGGGTGTGCATATATCCGTTTCTGCTATGACTCTTACTTCTTTAAGATATATAACCAGCTGGATTGTGTGGAATTAATATTTCCAGTTGTTTGATGTAAGGTCAATTAACTTTCCACAGTGGACGTACATATTTACAGTCACACCAGCACTGTATCAAGTTTTCAATCTCTCTGCAGCCCCGCCAGCATTTATTTCCTGCCTTTGAATTTTGCCCTTGATATCATTGTAAGTTGTTATCTCATTGTTGCAATGATTTGCATCTGGGAGGGAATGTATTTTAATTAATCCATGAAAAGGTCAATTAACAATGGAAATAGGAAAAGATATTAAGTTTTCTTCCTATAGGCATCGTGTTGGATATGATACCTGCATCTGATGCAGCAATCCGGAGACTGCAAGGAGAACCAATTCCAGGAAGATAGCACATCATGGAAGATGAAATAAAACACACTGTCCTTCTCTTTTGCATTCTCTACTTCAGAAGTTCCTACATCGTAATGAAAAATAATGTTTCCATTGTTTCAACATATTAGAGTCAGAATTATATTTTCTTATTATAACCAGAA